TGCTCCTTCCTTGTTGGAAGTATCAAAGATTCCCAGAAAACTGTAAATTAGAAGCATCCAAAAATATGTATTTCGTAATCGAGTGTTAAGATAGTTATTCCACTACAAACGGTCGTGAGCTCTAACTCTTAACATAAATAAAATCTTGTCCGATCTAGAGGTCGATGTGATACAGCAATCGTATTGTCACTTTGATATTTTTCATCCCGCGAATGTATGTCACATACGTTATGCAATTGTCCTTATATAGAGGTGAAAATGATGTGAATCGAAAGAGGCTTTCTTTTTTAAAATCTTCCGTAAACACGTAATCGCTGACAAAAAATAAAAACAAGAATTAACCAGGCTAACGTGGGTAATTTTGCATCGCCGATATGAGAAAGGTCACATTGATTTTAAAACTGATTACGTATGAAGATGCAGTCACAGTAGAAGCGCGTTTAATGAAAACTAGCTATTCGCCCGCAGCTTCGCTCGCATTGAAGCCCTTAAATAAATATCTTTCTTTAAAAAAATCCAATTAAAAATTGCCTATGTCCTTTCTCAGGCTCTACACTATCTGTGTACCAAATTTCATTTAAATCGGTTCAGTAGTTTCGGCGTGAAAGCGAGACAGACAGACAGAGTTACTTTCGCATTTATAATACTATATATAGTATGAATAAAAGCAATAGAAGTAAAAAAAAAATAAACTACTTCAAGTAAAGAGAACTCTACGAAAAACAGCAAAGCCTAAGAACTAAAAACTAGCTAATGGATTGACAAGATATTTACAAATTATCTTTCACGCATTGAAATGTGAAAAAAAATATAGATAAAAGTCGTTGCGATTTTCTTCAGAGTGGCAATCAGCCCTTTCGCTGCTAAGCTGAACTACTAGGTTGAAAAATATTTTAAAACTTGCTTAGTTGTGGATCCCTGGTGCCTGCGTAAGGCATAGTTCACCTGGTCACCACCCTTTGGATTCTTTTAGTACACAATTAAATAGCTTGTACACATTAATGAGAAACAAAGCAATGAACAGAAATTATACAAAAAAGAAATAAAAAAATTAAAATAAAACACCAAAAATGTAATAAAAAAAACTTACCGATACGATTGGAATATAATTCCTATAAAAAAAATGGGCGCCCTCATTCGTTGTGACGACAATTTGTGTATGCGAGTATGTATGTGTAGTGTAGAATAGATTTTTAAAAACACTTATATCCTAAACTCCAACAGTTGTTCCGTATCAGCATACGTTTGGTTAAGAAGATATTGCTGAAGAACATGTCTGATACGGTAATTAATTACGGTAATTTGTCGTTCATAGCAACATGGCGAGATTTTAATTTTATATTTATATGATAGTTTTTTTAGTTTATACAATACTTAGTTATAATAGCCGCAGGTCATATTATGATATGTGAACAATAAAATTATCTAAACTCAGAGTTATAACGATACAGGGCATAAAAAATTCCAAAACTCCGAAACACAAGCTTATTATAATGTGCGTACAATAGTCAAAACGTAAAGTTATACAAATTGGATGTTTATATTTCATTTCCGTTTCTTTTATTGTTTAAAATGAGGGTTGTGTCAGTCTGTTTTGTTTCGATTAAATCTCTTTCTTTCTTTCTTTTAGAATTGGGTTAGATTTTTTTTTATTGAAGTTAATGTTACTGGCGACATAAGTGGTTAAATTGTCCAGTAAATGTTGCGCCACGTATAGTGTGTTCGAACCTCAAAGCGAGACCAAACAAACAAACATATTATGTATGGGTGATCAATTCGGTACATCATTTCGTATTTGCGAAACTACGCGTGACACAGGGATCATTTTGTAGTGCAGGAAATATAATAAATAGAATATTTATCCAACATGTTTATACACAGGCAGGACGGAACCGTATTACAGCGACATCTAGCGACTAATCTCCGTTCTTTTAGCAGCAAATTTTAACCCATCGCAGCTTTCATCGACGGACCAAGAATTATGCCTCAGATACACACGTAAACGTGAATTTTATAGAAGATTAGTCATATAAGTGACTTTAAAACACGACCTGTTAGATAACTAAAACATAGAAACTATACAAAGAAATTGCATTGTTAAGGCGTTCAATAGTAATGTTTACGACATGGGCTTATAGATGGCGCTGTAAAATTTTATGTGTAGTACTTTCAGATTATATTCACGCCGTCCGCAGTCCTCGCAAAGCATCTCAAAACCTCGTCATGTCATTTTATATAAAAGTACACAAGTTAACATATAAAGAAAGACTTCTAAAACACATAAATGGTTAAATCATTAATACACATTAGTTTATAAATAAATATATTTGTTTCTCTTCAAGACTTCTTGTTATTTACATAAAAATCAACAAATAAATCAAATCAATCTTTTAGTCAATTGTTAGTTTCCAATTTTTTAACAATCGTCTTCTACCGAAATTCCTTGTCAATTACTGTAAATATTATTATTTGCGCTCTTCGTCCTTAAATCCTTCCTAATAAAAATGCGGTATACCTTTTTAAATTTCCTAACGACATTTATTTCTTGTCCTTAAAATCTGTCAAGATGTATCCGTCTTTTAAAAATCACACTCAGAATATATTTTCTTAACGATCCTATTTCTTCTTAATTCATTACTGTTACGCTGGTTTGGGGTAACTAACACCATACCCGAAAATTAATAGAAAATTTAACGAAGATGCTACCGAACGGACCAGATAAAAATGCCCTACGAAATCTCAACTATTTTAAATATGAATCAAAGCCTAAATTACATACAAAAAAAAAACATTTTCATATGTTGCAATTTTTTAATTTGCCTCTCAGAAACTTCTTATGCTGCCAAAATGGGAAGGCTCATCTGGGGACGAACAGCTTGAAGTAGAAGTATTATACTTTAGCGTTCCGTCTAATGAGGTAGCCGGGGCTAACTTTTTAGGGTAAAAGGGACCCTATTATTATAAATCCATTTTGTCTGTCTGTCCGTCTGTCATCAGGCTGTATCTCATGAACCATGATAGTTAGACTGTTGAAATCACAGATGATGTATTTCTGTTGCCGCTATGACAACAAATACTAAAAAACAGAATTAAATATTATTTAAGTGGGGCTCCCATACAACAGACATATTTTTTTGCCGTTTCGTAAGCGAGTCCGACTCGTGCTCGGCCGCTTTTTTAAAGATTGCCAACGCGTCTGCTACCCCTTAGATGTTGCAAAAATGGATAGTAAAACATCAGGTGAACCGCCATCAGGCTTGGCGATTTTTGACGTCAAATAATGTTTTCGACACAAAATTCGACGGTTTAAAATTTAAACTAAGGTCGATGAAAACGATGCAACCAAAGCGAGCCTTCTAACACGAGTCACTTGGATAGCAGACGCGCCTGCGCCTGGCTTCGACAGTTCGGCAATGTAAACACGATTGCAGTATAGAAAACATTCAAACAGTGGACACATGTAAAGGGATCAAGATTAATATAAACATTAAGCGAAAAAAAAAAAAGTTGATAAAGTTTTACCATAAAGTTCAAGATGGCTAGTTACCTGTTATTTGGAAGTGGTAAGTGATTTTCATTAAAGTTAACGTATAATATGGTTATAAGTAAAAGGATTAAAAGTTTACTAAATTATTTCATGCTGCTTAATGAGTATCAAAAGTGTCTTTCCCTTCTTTAACTAAGTTTTGTTCAAAATTAAAACAATTTTTCTATATAACTATCTCCACTATAAGATTCATTAATTTAACTATAAATCTAGAATCAATTGAAGTATAACGTTTAAATTCAAAACCACGTAAGATTTCCTTCAATATGTAGTTAGTTTTTAAAACCTGCTTTCAGGAACTTATTTGATTTTATTTTAAATATTATTAAAACCACAAATGCTCAGAATATATTTTTAAGAGGGGGGATTATTTAAAAATATTAAATAAATAACACACGATCTAACAGAAGGTCAAATTAATAAAATATATGCTGAATGTGTAACTAGTAACATGAAAAACTTAAAACATAAAATTTTCGAGACACCATAATTCCTGTAGAAAAGTTGGTTTTACGCTTTGTGTTTAACGAAGTTTACACGCAGTTTTAAATTTAGATGCCAGCTAAAGGGTAATTAAACGTGCGGTGCAGCGTGGACCTTGGGGCCAACTTCTGACTGTTACGGACCCCGCAATGCGCAGTCTCGCATACAACCAACCTCGCACGTGTCGCAAGCAAAACATTACAGCTGTGGCAAAGTGATTTTAGATCAAATAATAACGACGAACTTTTAATGTAATTTAATGCTATAACTTTATTGCCTTTTATGTGACACTCCTGTGACAGTTTTCATGGTGAAGTTTTTATATTGAGTCTAGTTTTGTACTGATCTTACTCTTAAGCCGATTGCGCGGATTGGACAGGTGAGTGATACTGAATAGTGTATACAAAAATGTTTCGTGGAATAGTGTTATTATATTATATTTGCTTATTGGATATTCTTTGTACTATGTTATTAATAATACTTATATCGAATTAAGTGACTATCGCTTTTTGAAAGGTTATTTAATAAACGAGTACGACGCGTAAACTAGATATTTCCTCATTAAAACTTTTTAAGAGCCGAATTCATGCACTAGCCGTGCAAGTGGATACGGAATTAGTAACGTTTGAAATAAGTCAAGCAGTGTTTATATTCGTGGGTCAGCATTCATTATTTGTTAGCAATACAACTTGCTAACCTGACACACACACAGATATTTACGATAAATACAATCATTTATAACAAGATCCAATAATTAATGAGTAGTCTGATTAATATTGGTATTACCAGAAGAGTTCAGTTGAAATAAATTATTACTGGCATAATATCTACGGACATTGACATCGATTGGTAGAAAAATAGAATTTGTAATAGGGTTGCCTGCACTGCGCCCGATCGATCGGAGCGCCGCGCACGCGTCGTGCGGCCAGCCCTGCCTCAGTGGTGACAAGGCGGGTACGCGACACACACCATGCCCAAGCCGACCCCCGTCGAGGACCTGATAATCCCGCCGCAGGACCAGAAGATATGCGGCACCATCTGCGTCTGCCAAATGACGGCCGTACTGAGCGCCGTCGCTATCGTCTACCTCACCGTTGCCATCTACATGCCGTACACGCGCGCGATCGCGTCCGGAATCGATCCCACGCCAATAATGTGCACCACTACGAGGGCGGTTAACAAAGAGAACTGCGACTGGGGCTCCTGTGGGGAGTGGTGCCTAAGCAAGACCTCGGGCGCCTGCATCCAGATCTACGTGAACGTAAGGCGCAACGGCTCTTCGCTGCTCCTCGCGGAGTGTGGGAGCGCCGCCAATAAGACCTGCTACGGAATAGACCAGGAGAACGCGAAGAAGTACCACTGCATCCGCGACGAGTGCCGCAACCTCACCGGCACGTTCAACTGCACCGAGGGGAAGTGCATCAACATAACGGACGCCTTCGAGTGCGCATTCAGGGAGACCGATCCGCCACTGAAATGTTCGGGCCGAAGAGGGAAGATCACTTGTATAGACGTGCACGGCCTTTTCTCCTGCAACAGAGGCACTTGTAGAAAAATCAGAACGCCGTACAACTGCGATAGACGCTGCGTCGACATACCGACCCGCAACAAGAACGTCATCGTGCTAAGTGGCGATAGGGTCTTCTTAGCGAGGTGTGCGAAGTTGGCGCAAGAAGACGGGGGCAACATAGTGTGGACGGACTCGGGGGAGGAAGTGCTGATGCTGTCATGTCACGCGGTGCATAACGGATCCTCGGGAGTTGTTGCCGTGGACTGCATCAATGCGGCTCTGTTGCCGCGAACCGACATCGCCGACCTCACCAACTTCACCTATCTCCAGTACTTGTACACTATGAAGGCAACACTGAACCGCCAAATAGCGCCATTGGAGGTTGAGCTTACTTTGGCTAACGACAGCCGTTTGATGATCAACTTGGAAGGATGCGTTAATACTCTAGCCGATGAATGCAAGGAGTTCCTGAAGGACTACGGCCGCGATGGGACTGACCACAACGCTAAAGCCCGATTCCCCTGCTTCTACACCGAAAACAATCCCGATACTGTTGTCGCGCGGTTCGATTTGGACGCCACCTTCCGTCAGTTCCTGGTGGCGCTGGTTTTGCCGACAGTCCTTGTTGTGGTGTCATGTATAACGCTGTTGCTATGCCAAAAGACCGTGGAAGTTGGTGACGATGCGAAGATGAGATTCAAGGGTTGCGCTGGTGGCCAGGCTGAGATGCAGATGCATCCGAATGATCCTGTTTCTCCCCTCTGAGATCAGTCACGTGAGCTAATTCACGATATCTAGACCGTAAATTGTTTTAATACCCGTCGTTATGTAGGTCACGATAGTATAAAATGCCTCGTTGGCAAGGAATTAACATCAAAAGTCACGTAACCGTCGTGCTTTCGTGAAAGTTAAGACCGTAAGGGATCTATATTAACCTTGACATGTTTCTTTCGTGTCTAGATTATATAGTTTTAAATGGTAATTGTGATCTCTGAGGGTTATATTGTGCTGATATTTGGAAAAATAATAAACCAATGTAATCTTAATGTTCATTTTTAAAATTTGGGAACATATGTTCGTTTTTCAATCTGTCATTAATATGTTCGACATCATGAATAATAAGTATTTAACTTAGATTATTTTTTATTTTTCAGGCGTACCCCTCCTCTGCGAGGGTCCGGCTAGTTCATTAAGAGACGACTAAGTGCTTCAAATGCTTTAATTGCTCCAAAATCTCCTCATGTCGACTATGAGCAGATCTAGAGCCAGCCTCTCACCAGCGGCGTCCGAGCGGTCCACTTTACCAATGGGAGAGTCCGCTGGGCCCGGGAGTCCGGCTTTCAAACCACTGGAGCCAACGCGGGAGCAACTGCTAAATCACTTTTTCGAGAGATTCAAATTTTACACGTCACTCTGCCTCGGCACATCAGCCATACTTGCGGTCTTCGCATTCCTGTTCTTGATACCGTTCGTCGTTGAACCGGCGGTGCAGACGATCCTGGCCGAATTTGTGCCGGAGGCGGGCGTTTGTTCCGTTTCCGAGCACGTCCACGCCGAGACCCTTACCAACTGCACGTGGGCGTCGTGCAGGGAGGGCTGCACAACTGCGCACACGAAATGCCACAAGATAAGGGTGAACCTCGCAAGGAGACCGTTCGTCGAAGGCGGGCCCGCACCCGCCGAGTGGGACGCGACGGACCTGCGGTTCCTGATCAACCCCGAGGGCTGCGGCTACCCCCCGAGGGTGAACTGCTCGGTTTTCGCTAGCGACTACGCGGGCCCGAAGGCGCCGAAGACGTTCCCGTGCTACTACAGCCTGACGCGGCCGGACCTGGTCGTCGCAAGGTACTCGTGGGAGTCAACGGTGCGCGGCTTGGTGCTGGCGCTGGTGCTGCCGACGGCAGTCTTCGTATTCAGCTGAGTGTGCTCGTCTATTGGCACTGTCACTGCTGCGACAGGGCCTGCAATAGGCGGGTGCACGCCGAGTCCTTCGCGAGCAAAGAGGAGTAAGTAGTCATTATTATTTCTATATTCACGAATGATTGAAACTTAGTTAGTCTGTGTTACAAATTTGAGTTCAGTAAAGATGAATGCTCAATATCCCTACTAAAGTATTACTTTGCATTACATAGCAAATTAATATTCAATATTCGACTACGTTACGAATACTTCAGTAGTAGGATATTGAAATTAATAAAAATCATTAAAAAATATTGTGTTAGATTTACTGCAAGATGGTATTTGTCGATTGTATGTTTGCTTATACTCGTATTTAATATGAGTTAAATTTTGAAAAAAAAAATTATGCTTACACGTTTTTTCGTTAATCCTTCTAAAATTCAATATTATCGGGGCCCTGTATTGATTTTAACTTTAACGTTGTTTGTTCCTAAAATGAACCGCTAGTGCCCTAGAACGGCCTAGAATTAGACTGGCTAAAACCGAAAAGCTTACGTAGGTAAACTTTAAAAGTATACACTAATTGTATGACATGAAGAGTTATTTGTTTTATTTTCACTGGTAATTAAAATTTTAACAGACAAATTGGCGAAAAAATTCACGTTTATGGTTGCAAATAAAATCTATAAAATAAAATGTAAATATATAATAGCCAAAAACGCCTGTAACCATAACTTTAGGAAGATTTAGGCTACCTACCAAAACAGAATTTTTTGGTAATAAACTGTGCTCTGTGCTTCTATGTCCATTTTCATCTGCTGTTTTCGTAATGATGTTTTTGTATGTTATTTGTATTTGACAGAACTATAAACATGTATCAACTGACTGTCTCGAATGTTGTTAGCTGAGCAGCTGCCGAAAAAAAACTTTATTTAAATAAAAAAATATATAAATGACTTTGACTGAGGATGCCGCGAAGACGGAAGAAACACACTCAAGCTTTGGCATTTATAATTTTAATGAACGTTGCATTAGCTGATCCAATATATGATAAATAACTCCAATTCGGTCCATTTAGAGTCCAATCCATATTTAAAATAAATGAAAGTCGAAATAGTTAATAATTTTTACTTTAAAACATTCGAGATTTGAGCTCTAAATTAAGAGCTTTGTTATGTAATGCAATGTTATAGTAGTGTATAGCTTACTGAACTTTTGCACTTAATAATGTTGTATTTATAATATAACTTTACTTTTGCCGCTGCATCACTCGCATCGTTTCCTGTTTCTTGAATTGTCGAAGTCTTTTGAGTAAAAATCTAGATATGGTCCAGATCTTTCATATAAATAGGAAAATATACGAGTACCATATATCCATAATTATATCCATTTCTAGTGATCACTTTTCCTCGTGATTGTTCATTCATTAATTCATTTTCACATGGAAATAAAAAAAGTGTTGGCTTTTTTCCACAGTAGCAAGCTGCTATGTGAGCTAGACGAAGATCCCAGCGACGATGTGTTCTGACGCCGAGCGAGTACCGCCAGGCGTCGTGCCTCCCCGCGCACCGAAGGCTACACGCAGCTTTGAAGTTACGTTTGCGCCGCGTAAACGCAGCGTAGCCGTCGCGTAAACGCATCGTGGCCGTCGCGTAACCGCAGCGACGCCGTCGCGCAATGGGAACGTAGCTGTTGCGCATCTACTGCGTAGACATCGCGTAGACGCGACGTATGCGCAAACGCTACGGCCGCAACACGTTGATGCATATTATAAAGCTTTAATAATAGAATCAATACGCCTAATTCTTATTGAAGTCAAAGTTAATCGTATGATCTCTGATATTCTAGAATCTTTTTAAGCAAAAATTTTGTTCTTCACTACGGCAATGATGTGACCAAAATGAGGCAGTATTATATAATAAAGGTTACACTACGCTTTGAAATCGAAAAAGAAATTTAGCTAAAATCGTCTCTTAAATCTAAGTTCGAACTAGGCCGGATAGTTTTAAGATTGTACAAATTATTTGCTTAATTGCCTTGTTCAATGATAGCTGATAAGGCTATAATTAATTTCAATTTGTGTATATACTCGTGCGTATGGTGTTATTATCTAAATTTATTAACGCTATAAATATATTCTTTAGCAGATATTTAAATTAAAATAATTTTAAGCGTATTTGTTAATAGTTCTAATTACAAAGATCTTTTTAGAAAGTTTGATGAATTATCCTACTTTAATTTCTTCAATGATATATTTAAACGCACTCACTACACGTAATTAAAAACGATCAAAAAGTTTCACATAGTTAAAAAACTGATAGAAAAGCCATTCATCACATCTCGCATGCAACTGTTAGCTAGATGAGTATTTTAGGGGCAACGACTTATTAAGAAAATAATGCAAATAAAATTAATTAAATTTGTCGCTAGTATTCTGATTAATTTAATCGAACTTATTGCCATATATCCGTTAAAGTTGCTTTAGTTAAAGTTGCTTTTTCTTCTAATTTGCTTATAATAATAAAATCATCTGCTATGTTTTAACCAATTTTTGTATTATGCTAACAATATTAATAAGGTTACTAAATCAATATTTACTATTAAATGATAAAATTAATACAGTTATTAAGGCATACTTTGCACACTTTTGTTATATTTCATATCATTGTCATTGATAAATAGACGTTATCGCACAGAGTTTTATACTAGATACATACATATAAATAAAATATAAAAAAATATTTTTCTTATATACTATTAACGAAATTCTCCACATGTCTTCATATTCATATAATAAGATATTTTTCAAGAGTTCAAAATATGATATATTCGTTAAATTAATGAACAATATAATAAATGTGTCTTAAATTGTAAAAGCATTTGCCATTTAATGTGATATTTAGGCTTATAAAAATAATTCGAAACTTATATATTATTTCATACTAAGTAACCTTAAATGTTTATCAGTAAAACTTTTAATATTACGACGTGTTCTTAACCAAAGATATACGTTTCGCTATTTATTACAACTTTCTTTCCATTTTAGGTATAGTTCAAAATATAGGTTTGTTAAAATAGTATTTATTTCTCGGGGTTATGTTAAATTTTATTTGCTCTCTGACTGGATTCATATTTTACTTTTAATGTAATGTAAATATATAAATACTTTGTTATTCTTTCATGGTTCGACTCAAATGTAAATAAAGTGAAATTCGATGACGGAGACATAAAGTGTTATGACAAATAAAGCTTCTTTCTATGATTTTTTCTCTTTTTTTTATTCCACATCTTTGGCTCACGTGTTTTAGGTATATAAAGTGTACTTGTCTCAATGGATATCATTTATTATAAACATCCTGGCATATATAGCTTGATAAGCTGAAAATGATCGTAATAAAAACTTCAAAATTTCTCTTTATATTTATGTATCAAAAAAATTTTAATGTAAAAATTTTAATTTAAAAGTTTTTTCCAGAAACAAAAACATTAGTTTTGTTTTGTTTTGTTAAAAAACTTGAGATGAATGGGAATTTCAAAAAAGGAATGCTAAGTTGGAATGCATGAATACAAATGGACAGTAAGGCTTAAATAATTTATGGTGCGATTGTGCGTGAAAATGTACCGAGGTTGGAGAATCTCATCACTGACTCATATCAATATACATGTAATTGTATTTCGGATTTTGTTTTGCATCTACGTGTAATTTACACTACTGGAAGAGAATGCTTAATTGCATGTTTGCCTTTTGTTTGGCTTTATGTGGGGCCGTAAACGATAAATTTTCAAATAAATAAAATGAATGTCTAAATCCAACCCATGAATTGACATTCAGAAGGCAAGAATGATGCAAAATTTCTTTTGTTCAATGACGACCTGAAGCTTCGTTTTGCCAGTAGAGTGCGATAATGATTACAAACAACTGCAAGGGGATATAGATTTTTTTTTGTGAGAAAGTGGCAAAAGAGCTAGCGGTTCACCTAATGTTAAGTGATAACCGCCGCCCATGGATATTTGCAACACCCGTAGGGTTGCAAATGCGTTGCCACCTTTAAATAAAGTGGGCCCCGGCTACCTCACTCACGAGACGAAACGCAGAAGTGTAACACTTCTACTTTGCGCTGGTCTTCTGTGAGGCCGTGGTACTTACCCGGACGGACGTGCCCATTCACGCAACAGTGTTGCGTGGCCCTACCACCCGTTTAAATACCGGGTTGTCGTTTAGTTTAATACATCTAAGTGCTCAGTTATTATATTCTGCAAGTATGCGGCCTTTTACGTCACTACTATTGCTATTCACGGAAAGAAAGTACAGCGGGTTGTGAAAGTTTGCGATATAGGCGTTAGATTTGTATCTAGCCTCCCCTTCTTGTAACATATTACATAAGTATATACGAAGGACTACCGCAGAATAGGAAAGATACTTCTAGTATCTATCCTATTCTGTCTGTAACTTAGTAGTGCTTGCTAGAGTTTGGTATTTGATATGTAAATTAAATAAATAAATAAAACTTTAAATAATTATTTATCAATTAAGAATAATAATATACATAGCTATTGCGAAGAAACAAGATTTAAACTATAAAGAAAAGTTCGTTAGTACTAAGTACGATATGTAAAAATGAGCTAAAAATAGAATGGTTTATACGAAAGCTCCGTCGTTTTCGTAGCTTTCACGTAACAGGGAATGAGCCAGAAGTAAAATGAATAAATGTAAAATCAGACATGTTCCTTTATTAGCAGAGTCAGCAGTATTTATTCAACAGCGTGTTTGAATTACTAATAACACGCTTTGTATGGCATAAAAATAGTCTTCAGAGATCAATAAAGGCACCAATTTAATTTACGGCAAATGTATTCAACGGTGACGTTATTAATAAGCGAAGCGATTGAAGCATAAGCGATTTAGGAAATTTAGTTCCATATACAGTTTTCGTGACTAATTCTGCCCTACGTGTTTTTATATTTATCAATGACTAGCTGACTCGGCAAACGTTGTTTTGCCGTATAAATTATTTCTAGAGGAATCAGAACGCACGCATAAAGTGTTTGGGAGTGCATGAGTGTTGTGTTTGAGGTTGACAGGCACAGTTTGTATGGGAACATAAAATTGTTGTTATTTCGATTTTACATTCAATTTTTCCGTAATTTCTCATCGTTTAAACCTTCCCTGGACTGCTACAAATATTTCAAAACCAAAATTAGCCAATTCGGTCCAGAAGTTCGCGAGTTTTAGCGAGACTGACGAACAGCAATCCATTTTTATATATAAGAAGATAAGAAGATGTGCTCATCGTAATGATTTTGTTTCATGTCGCTTGGCGTGAAAAATATGGGCAACCTATCCGATTTTAACAAGTACTAGACGAAAAACCAATTTGTAACAGTGGACTACTGCTGAACATAGACCTCAAACACAGACTGGCACGAAGCACGGTCTTGACCTATCGCGTTCCACCGGCAATCATAGGGGCATTATAAGGGCTTAGTCCACCACGCGGCCCCACTGCGGATTGGCGGACTTCGCATATCTACCAAATATTATTATTTCGCTGTATTTATTAGTATATTACCGCTCAGCACATGATAATTCAGCACTTGAAATTAACAATATCATTGGTGCCGGCACCGGGGATCAAACTCGAGGAGGTTGCTCGAGTACATTGAATTAAAGGCGAGCGCCCGGACACTGAGCTATCACGTCTCTTGACACTGACTTGATGTACTGGTTTCAAATATGTGACAGCAGTAGACCACAAATGTGTATATTTTGAAAGAAGGTATTTTTTTTAAATCTCGCTCCGCTTGAACAACGTGTCCGTAACGTTAGCTGTCAATGTTTAAAAGGGTTGAACGACCTCAAACGGCACGGAATGTTACGTTTTACTGCAATAGCGTATACCTTTTTTACCTTTAATAACCTCAAGCCACAGCACGCCCATGTGCTTTATTATTAAAGTGAACATATATTGTTTTTACTATTACGGCAAATTCTTACTCACATATAGGTTTGACCGGCGAGACGTAATTCTTACCTTCAATTTCACCTTGCATGATCTGTTTAGTTCTATTTAATCACTAACGCCCAGTTTCTGAAACACTGAACATCGTAGAAATGAACTAATCAGTTGTCAGAATGATCTTCTTAATGATCAGAATGATAAATAAAAAGAGAATAACCATCTTTTGGCAACTCAAATGACAACTGATTTATTTTCTACGATAATCAGTGTTTCAGAAACTGGACATAATAATCGTATACCCTAAAATTATGAACAAGTTACAGTGATAGCTTATTGTCCGGGCGATCGCTTTTAATTGAACATAAACTAGCATCTTAAGTTCGATCTCCGGTGTGAGCACCAATGAAATTGTTAATTTTAAGTGTTGACTTATTAAGTGCTCAATGGTTAAGGAAACATCGTGAGGAAACCTGCATATTTCGAAACAATACCAAAGAATTATTTCATGATATGTGAAGTCCTACGATCAGCATTGGAGCCGCGTGGTGGATTAAAATACCATTTG